TTTGCTAATGAGTTTACGAGTTGTCAAACTCTGAAGGGAAACGTGTTTTGCCCTATGTTAATGCGAAGTTCAACAAAAAATTTGTCTAATGGTCCGATGCATTGGAAGCTCGAAAAAAGCTAGTTTTTAACAACAACAACAAAAATGGCTTGTTGGGTTGAAAACCCGAATGAGTGGCCCAAGCAGAAGTTTGAGAAGAAAAAATAGCTCATTGGACTGAAAACCCAAAAGTGCAGTGCAAGGAAAAATTAGGGTGGAAAAAAAGTGCTTATTGGGCTCAAAACCTAAAGATGGTGTCATGAGTAAAAGAACTACGGTCGACTTCATCCCTCAAAAGGGGTACGTAGGTAGTCTAATTCTTAAAAAGCTAGATTCAGTCACAAGTATCAAAATCCCCCTTCATGACCTCAACTCAAAGAGGGTGAACTACATTTGACGTGATCCCTTCACAAGATAAGTAGGCAAGTTAGCCTAAAAAGCTAGGTGCAGCTGTAAATTATCACAAATGCATTTTATCCACCGATGGTATTGGCATGTACTTAAACTGATTTATGCTATGCAATAACTCCAACATCACATGACAGGATCCACCCCGAATTCCTCGAAATATGGGATGAATCCTGTGGAGTTTCTGACATCAAACCAATGTCGTGCCCACTTACTAACAAAAAGAAACTTTCTGCCGAAAATTTTGGCAGAGTCTCCCCTGAAAATTGGACTTTCCCCAAATTTCTCAACCTATTAAAAACACATTTAATATCACCAACCGGCAGCATGCACAAGATAAATTCATGCAGTTTACATAGATGGCCTCCGGCCTTCAAATAATTCGAAGCAGCACCTCCAGCAATGCTCTTAAGTATAATAAAAAAAAAATAGAACTTAAACAAAGCAATTAATGAACTCAAACTAATTTATGCATGCCCTTCGAAAATAACATAAAATATCCTCCCAAATTTCATCATGATGCGATGTCTAACAACCAAACACATTCGCAAGTAGATTAAGGGCTCGGCCCAAATCGTACAACAATCCAAAATGGGTTTCATACCTGTCTTGACCACAACCACACTTTAACAGCACTCACTTAGTCAAACGGGAATACGAATAAACACTCAATCAAGCCTCGTTTTCAATCGAGCTTAAGGACCACCGATAAAGTCGAAACCAAACTTATCCAAAGACCAAAAGAAGTGAGACTAGATCCGAACGACTAAATTAAAGTTCCAAAAATAACTTTAGTTCGCGGCTACACCTAGGTAAGTCCCCAGGCTACTTACGTACCCCTTTGTGAGGGATCAAGCCACAGGTAGTTCTTATGTCACAAATCGTGGTTCCGATAACATACCATCATTTTCAATAATACCCACAAGTTGAATTTTAGAATCATCTTTTCCCTTTAAATAAAATCTCCATATCTCTGCCCATGAACAACAAAGCCATTTTTCTTTACTCCCTTCATACTCAAGACTCATGATCCAATAACCCTATCCCTTTAACAAAGCACATAAGCCGACCACAATTCTTTTAAACATTACCCTTTTTCCCTTCATAGTATAATAATCATTGTCCCTGTCCCCATTACTTTACTACCTACACGTCGGAGAGTCCAACGCCACGTGTAGTAAAGTAACAGTAATCAAAATGTCAGGATCCTTTGCGACATGCCGGAATAATCCAACGCCACGTGTAGTAAGGTAACCAAACCATGTTCTATGCTCGCAGACTGCTTTATCACACGCCGAATAATCTAACGCCACGTGTGATAAGCTAACCACATAACCATATATGCCCACACGTCGGATCATTCAACACCATGTGTGGGTACCATAGCACTAAGTCCTACGCACGCAGACAACTTTATCACACACCGGAATATCCAACGCCACATGTGATAAATTAACAACCAACCATATATGCCCACATGCCGGAATCATCCAACGCCACGTGTGAGTACAACAACCAGGGGAGGGTACTTAGCATAGTGCATTCACATCTTCACATCACCATCACAAGGTATCTTAACTCATATAAATCTTTTGCCCAATTACTTCATCATAGTATGAATTGCAATTTCTCAAAACATAAAATTCATATTCAAAACCACCATGATTCTCAAATATCGAAATAGTCAAAACTCCAATTTTTAGCAATGTATATATATATATATATCCCATAGTCAGAATAATCCATGTTTAATGCATATTAATTCAATCGATCAAAATAATGCACTTTCAAAACAAAGTCCACTCACTTCTTAATAATCATAGCCGAGTCCCAAGACTCACTTTCACAACCAACCAAATCAAGTATCCCAAAATCATATATTCCATAATTTCAAATATTGCATAAACTTCAAATAACAATATAACATCCGATAACCCCACAATTTAAAACAATAAAATAATCTCTTAATCCCACATAATCAACATAACTCAAATAACAGTCAAGACTCGTCAATAAGATCATTCTAGTACTCCTCCAAAGGTGAAACTACCTCAGATGACTCACAGACAACCGAGGGTCAATCTACCCAAACTTGGTCAACTGGGCCCGCGGGGCCCATGACCTCCGATTTACAATCCGAAAGTTCCTATAAAGTTCAACAAAGTTTAGAGTACACGTTGCAAGTTTGGTTTGAATCGAACGGTCGGATCGCTCGCGATTGCATGATCGGACGGTTATCGTTTAACGCAAACTTTAAGTTATTGAATTGAAACATTCGGGGCTCCGATTCACGATCCGCGAATTCCTACACGCTCCTAGGGATGCCTATATCAACATATATTAAAATGAAGTCGATCCAACGGCCCAAACATATCGAACCCGGATAATGCCTAATATGCGATATCCGATCGACGATCAAACGATAACCAAATTTAAATCTAAGCATACCGTCGTGCTCAGGATGACATGGGGAACATTTTAGGATCAAGAGGCATACCCAAACAGTGCCCATGAGCCGCCACACGCTCCGACATCGCTTGGGTGTCTAGAGAAATTTCGGTGACCAGAAAATCTCAAAACCATCGATCAAAACCTATACCTGCATGATCAGCACATTGAGTGGAGCATCTTTTGTCCTTGGGCCAACCCCAAAAAGTGACCGGAGGTGGTCGGAATCGAGGGCCAAAATCGGCGAAAACTTTAATTGCTTAAATTCGTTTCAAAACGCAGAAATTGCTCCTAAATAACACAACCAGTAGCTAGAACACATTGAGAGGATGAGAACGAACGATGGAAAAAATGGGTCAAAACCGATCGGGTTTTTGCATTTTCCGGCGAAATGCGGCGATTGAGATTGGTCGGGAAGGAAAGTGGAGGTGGCGGCGGTTCGTTTGGGTTCGGCCTCGTGGCCGATGGATGCCTGTGGCGGCGGCAGTGGCCTCCAAACCGTGCAGATGTTTTAAAATAAAATTGGGGGAGGG